CGCTCTGCCATGGCTCTCTTGGTCGCTCTCTCCTGGGGGATGGGCTGGGGACTGAGTGTAGTCTGTTACTTGTAAATGATTACATGTATGCTTTTACGCTCCCCAATGAACTAATGTCCAGGGAGAGAGACAGAGAGAGAGAGAGAGAGAGAGAGAGAGAGAGAGAGAGCAGAGAGAGAGATAGAGAGTGAGGGAGAGAGAGAGAGGGAAAGAGGGAGAAATACCGCAGCGGAATGAAGGAGGTATTCGCAAAAATGAACATCCGTGCGTGGGAATTGACCTCCTATCTTCAGCTCACTAAAGTCATGGTGACATCCCATTTGAAAATCGTTGAGGAGACGGGGGACTAAGATTGGTCCAGTCAGCAACACCCTGGGAGGGGGGGGGGGATACGATGTCCCAGCGGAGAGACAGAGATGTCTGCTGGGACATTTCAATGACCCACGTTCTGCACTTTTCAAGGACCCCCGAGCAAGTGTAGAGTTTCTGCGTGCTGTCGGCATAGCTGACCTTTTATGACGTCGCAGTGCTAGAAGAGAGAGAGAGAGAGAGAGCTTTCCTCATCCTTACTATTGTCATTTTCCCTCTTCTTCCTTTGTATGTTTGTCACTCTCTTGTGACCCGCTATTTCCGGGGTGCCTTGATAGTCGAGGCAGACTTTGTGCTGTGGAGGCTAGAGAGGTGAGCAGAGTAAGGCTGATTCCCCGTTTGGGCTTCTCTGTTGACATCCACCTCTCGGCGCTCATATGACCGTATGCAATTGCGAGCGCCGTAAAACCTTACCACAACGAAAAAAGTATCATATGTATCTCCGTTTGTCTCCCTCGACAGCTCACAACGGTGCTCAACTCTGTCCTCACGTACAGAAGAAACTTCAGCATCCCCAATCTGCCCTTTGACTCTATGCAGGTTTCTATAAAGGTAAAGCAAAAAGGTCGTGACCAGATTGCGTGTGACAATGAAGGGATGGGGGTTTCATTACATGATCTGCCAGTCTTGCTACGTCTCATATCGTCACAACAGCCGTGCTTTAAAGGGGAAATAATTGTTGCGAATTTGATTCTGGTTCACTATAATATGTGTATGTATTTCTTAATTGGTTTCACAGTTACTATAAATTGTAAATAGGGAAAAATGTTACAATTTTATTCGTTGGGTTGTACTCCAGGCTAGAGATCTAGCGGTTGACTACCCCTGAGATTTAGTTTTAGCAGGGGAATGCAAAAAAAAGGAAGCAGAACTGAGAGTTCTTGAAATGTTCATCCGTTCTGTTAACCAATTGTTCGACAGACCAGTGGCGGTACATCGGGTTATTGTTTGTTTGTTTTTCTGTTGGGTTTGTTGGGTTGTTTGGTTGTTGTTGTTTTTTTGGGGGGTGGGGGTTGTATTTGTTTGTTGTTGTTT